CTACTACTATTACTAAGTACTACGACCACGAACCATTATTATAATTACGACCACCGATACAGCTACTGAGTATTCGTATCAAGTAGTACCACTAAGCGTTACTCGTACTACTGCTACTACTAAGTCGTACTACAACTAAATACGACTAGTACTAAGGAGCGGTATCCCGAAGTACTAATAAATATTATCGTTCTAATAGGAATGACAATTACCAATACTACTACTACTAGATAATGGTAGTTGTTATTGAACTCAGTCAGACTAATAATATACAAACGATTATCAGGAAACATAGTTTTCGTACCCACACGCATATCGCTATTGTTACCACAGCACTACTTCTATCACCGAAAAAACTGTGAAAATCTGTATATAAATACATATTATATATAATATTAAAAAATTAAATTAAATTTATATATTATTATAAATAATTATATATTATTAAATTAATAAAGTAAATAATATAATTATTATTAAATTTTTAAATATATTATATATTTAACAATAATAACATTACGCAAAAAGTAATCCAAAAAAGACAAAGGGACGATTGTATTAAAGAACAAACCGAGCTGCACCAGATAGCGCGCCGGTATCTGGTGCACCCGCTCTGCGTGAAATATAATTCACAACAGTGATATGTTCCTGCGAAAAACATGTAGTTTTTGAAGATCTGGCGAGCAAGTTGTAAACCGACTCTGTAATTTCAGAGACGAAGTGATGGTTCTCTTAAAAGGAAATAACACGTGAAGTCTCTGGCGTCCAAATCGTTCTAACTCAAATGTATTGCGCGCTACTTGCCGCTCGCTGCCGAAACGCCAGATGCACGCATATTGTTTTTGTCACCACAGTACTATTTGTATCACCGAAACGGTTGAAAATCGTACTAATGCACTTATTAATCTAAAGGCAAATGGACGATTGTATTAAAGAACAAACCGAACTGCACCAGATAGCGCGCCGGTATCTGGTGCACCCGCTCTGCGCGAAATATAATTCACAACAGTGATGTGTTCGTGCGAAAAGCAGATTGTTTTTGAAGGTCTGGCGAGCAAGTTGTAAACCGACTCTGTCATTTCAGACAGGAAAGGATGTTTCTCTTAAAAGGGAATAGCACATGAACTCGCTGGCGTCCAAATTTTTCTAGCTCAAGTGTATTGCGCGCTGCTTGCCGCTCGCTGCTGAAACGCCAGATACACGCATATTGTTATTGTTACCACAGTACTACTTCTATCACCGAAACTGTTGAAAAGTCGTACTAATGCATTTAATAATCCAAAGACAAAGGGACGATTGTATTAAGAACAAACCGAACTGCACCAGATAGCGCGCCGGTATCTGGTGCACCCGCTCTGCGTGAATTATAACTCACAACAGTGTTATGTTCCTGCGAAAAGCATATTGTTTTGAAGATCTGGCGAGCAAGTTGTAAACTGACTCAGTCATTTCATAGACGAAGAGATGTTTCTCTTAATGTATTGCATATATAGCTGCTGCAGAAAGGTTCAAGATTTGGCCGTTTCTCTCCAGAGTAAAATGAACACCCAAGGTAACGAGTACGATTGTTATTAATATATTTCGTATGTAGCTTATATGCGTTGATTAATTGATCAATGTTACTTTGTTACGATGCCATTGCGCCGAAAGCTGCAAAGACGTGGCTCGAGTCTCGAAATCTTTGATTTCATACGTTCATACGCAATGGCGTATGAATTTGCTTACCTGGAGGGAGGCGCCGTTATCGGCTCTCTTCCCACCTTGCCCCCCAGCGCCGCGTGGAGCAAGTTGGGGATGCGCCTGCAAGATCGCTTGAACAACGGCGAGGATTCGGGAACTTTGAAAGCCGCATGCTATACATGTAACATTTGCTTTGGCCCCGTAAACAAAAATGACCGACCTCCACAACGCAAATGCGATTGCATTCGCGATGGGAGGGAAACTGGAACGACGTTTCAGTCATTGTTTCAGCCTCCTTGCATCGGTCCCGAGGACGCGATCTGGATCCCATACAACTTCCAGTGCGGCTGGAAGAAGTGGACCTTCCAACGCCGCGAAGGCAATCTGGAAATGCCATAATTCCACTTGCGCCGATTTGTGCCATGCCCGACTTGAGAAAACAAGACGTTGCGTTCGCGCCATTGTGGCCTGGCCAGAGAGGTGCTTTAGCGCTTCCAGAACTCAAGACGGGCTTGGCCAGAGTCGGCGCAAGGGTAGAGCTGGCGCTTCCATAGGGCAGATCATGTATTTCAAGCCCGCAGACGTCGAGCTCGAGTGGATAGCGGTGCGTCTTCTTCATCCGATTCAGGCGGCAATCACCCTGGTCAACTTTCACCAGCCGTCGCACATTCTCGCCGTGCACGTGACAGTTGAACACTCGCCCGAGTTGTCGCAGCTCCTCGGCACATACGTCGCCGCATATTCGACTACGATGAAGACCATCAAAGCGCACGTGCTGGACCAGCTCGCCTTACCAAATCATCACACCGTGGTGTTGAAGGTGGGCCGGCAGCAAGTGAGCGGCCGGCAACAGGTGGCCCCCTGCTTCGGCCTCAGCCGGAAGCGCCCGCGCTGAGTCCCGAGGGCACGCCCGCTCGACCCCATATAGATTGGTTTATCATTTTGCCCGCCGACCAGATACCGGGCTGCCTTCCAGGCTAGATTTGCTTCCGACATTTTCTATTTCGCATCCCTAGTGCTATCTCCAAGTGTTCCACGGCAAAAAATGTTATCTCATCCGTTTCAAAAACACTTACGCATTTACATTCCAATGTAAACATATACACAACGTGCGCCCCCCGCGTACCCACTCGCAACAAAGCTTGGGAAACATGTCAGAGATCAGCTGGCAGGGTGGCGTGGCGGGCCGCGGGCAATTCGCCCAAGCAGCGCCCACACAAGCCAGAATAAGTCACCTCCCCCCCGCGCCCGCAGATTGAACCTCTCCTCTTTCAGGCGCCGAGGTGGCGGCATCTTCAATGCCGGCCTCGTCCACGCGCCAGGCCTTCTTGTCCGTTGCGTGGAGGTTGCCTTTACGGGAGAGGGATGCTTCGCCGAGGCAGATGACCTCAATTGGATGACTCCGGCGTTCGCTGCGGGCTCCGGGCGGACGGATTTCCTCCCGGTCTCCGGCGCCGGCAAGCGCCGCCGGCCGCGCCGGCCAAGGCGTCGCCGCCGGCCGCGCCCCCGAGTCCGCCACCGGCCAAGGCAGCGCCGCGGCGGCCAGGGGACCCATGGATGGATCGAGGCGCTGCTGTGGAAGAACGCCACCATCATCACCATCACCACAGCCACCCGACCACCGTCATCTCATCTGATGTCGAGTCGGTGCGGGGCTCCCGCTGGGCGCGCTACGCGTGCCTCGACCACGCGCGCGTGCTCCCGGGCCTGATGTTCCGTCGCCACTGCTCAGAGTAGGGGCCGATGCGCCTTGCGGATCTCAAATGCTTCGTCGAGGTCTGCAAGGCTGTTCGCCCTCCAACTCACGGCAGTGGCAGCTGGATATCATAGTGGCGATGCTACTTTTCCTGTTTTACTAACATGCTTTGGGCCCGCCTCCCACCGCCTGGCCCCCGCGCCGCCGCTTCCGCTTGTATATCTATCCGACTGTTTTCGGAGACTCTCAGAGTTTCTTTGTTCGCTTTGTCTTATCTTAAGAAACGACGCCGCGCTTGCTCGTCTGATATGTTGCATCAGTATATGCATTAGCTCCTTCCCGCTATCTCTCTCGCCTTCTCTCTCTCTCTGTCTCTCTACCTTGCATGTGCTCATTGTTTCTTCATATCGTCCTCCCTCTCTCTCACTCTGCTAACTGAGCTGCCATGAGAAGATCGCTCATCTTGCTTTCTGTGCATCTTGGAACGGGCTAATGTTCACGAAGGGGCGTTGGCTTCTGACCGCGATCGATCAGGGCAACGTTGCGGTCGATTGCTTCGAGCAGCGGCCCCCTTAGAAAAAAACAGACAAGGGGCTCTTGCCCACTGCAGTTTTCGGAGGGCCATCAACCTGGCAGTGGGCAAGGGCGTTTCGGCCTGCGTGCGCCTCACTGAACGTTCTCCAGACCTGACATCTGGCCGCGGCGATGAGTTTGCGCGGCCACAGAAAGAAATGCCAACTCCAGAAATAAATCTAGAGGTCCAGCCCGCAATACCCAGGAACGCCAGCTTTGCCCCACACGCCTACAGTTTTTGATAGTTCCAGAAACATGGTAGTGGGCAAGAGCATTTTCGATAGCCCATATTTTCATGAACTAGCGACAGCTTCTGCGTGCGACGATCCAGCGGGCGGGGACGCTTTGCGCCAATTCATCTCGAGTAGTATCAGAGCGAAGCCCAGGACGCTTCTGCCCGCGATTAGGTAGAGCGACGTTGCGCGATTGCATTGAAGCAGATTGTCAGAACGAAGGCCCGAGGAAGGCAACTCCGATCTCGAATCGTCCTCTCTCTCTCTCTCTCTCTCTCTTTCTCTGTGCCAACCGAGCCCCCATGGGTGTCCGATCGCCCATCTCGATGTCGGCGTGTCTTGGAGGAATTATCTACGAAAGTGCGATAGCTTTTGCCTGCGATTGATCGCGGCGGCGTTCCAGCCGATTGCTTTGAACAGCTGTCAGAGCGAAGCCCAGGAGAGCCCATCCCCGATCTCGACTCTTCTCTTTCTTCTCACTCTTTATCTTTTGTCAACCAGCTCCCAGGGAGCATCGCCCCACTGAATCTGCGTGTTCGGAATGAAGTACATGTATCATGAAAGAGCGATAGCTTCTGCCTGCATTGATAGGAGCGACGTGGGAAGCCGATGCGAGCAGCTTCAAAGCGAAGCCCCAGGAGAGCTCCATCTCCAATCTCGACTCGGGGTCCTGCGCCCCTGCATATTTCCGACTCGAGCGCACGGCGCCCTCTTACAAACTGATTCTTGTTGCTTTTCTGTGTCTATAGGCTTTTAATTTGCTGTTACTCAGCATCCCAATGGCGTCGTCGTTGCAGCTGGATCTCAGCAGCGAGGAGGTTTTGGCGCTCGTCGAGGCGGGCGTCATTTCAGGCCAAACAATCCACGACGCCTATCGTGCAGAAGCAGCATCGGCCGAATGGCCTCGCAGCGACTTGCCTGAGATTGACGTCTTGGAGTCTTTGGCGGCGAAGGGCGTCCTGACGAACGAGGGCGTCCTTGACTGGATGCAGTCGGGCGTGGTGACGGCGCAGACAGGACCCGCTGGCGGGCGTTCGTCGAAGCCTCGCCGCCGCCCGACTGATCCGAAGGACAAGGCGCCTTGGTACATGCGCGGCTTGAATGCCCCCATCTTCGTGAAGACAGACCTCCAGCCGGAGCTGGCGTTGCTTTCGCGCCAGGGCAACTGCGTCGCGCACGGCGTCGGCCACGTGATCGGCAAGGCGCTGGATGCCGTAGCATATGCGAAGATCTTCCCTGCCGCCGCTTCGCGTGGCCGCAAATACGTGGACGTCGCCGCTGCGCTGGGCGTTGGTTTGCAGGAGGCGCCTGGGCGGGCTTGCGTCGTCGGCGCGTCGGAGAGCGGGCAGGCGCGCTCGATCGGTTCGCGGGGGACTGCCAGTCGCGGCCCCCCGTCGGGCCGCGCAAAATGATTCCCTCGAATCTGTCGGGCGCGCGGCCCGCTTCGCCGTTGCCGCCGCTGACGCCGAGCTCTCGCAAGGTGAGCGACCTTTCTCTCCCTGGCGCCTACCTATGTCATCAGTCTGGCAAGAGAGTGGGGCATTGCACGGGAGTTCGCGTACATGATCGCTACGTTACCATTTGGGAGAATAAGTACAAGTTTGAAACCACGTCCAAGGTATCGGCGCCGCCAAACATGTTGATTTTCAAAGTCATCATCGCTGACAAGGGAGCGCATGGCCATTGCCTGGGCCGTCGTCTGCGCGGTCTCAGGGCCGGCACGTCTCGCGGGGGGGCTCCGCACTTATCGCAGTATTCCAGAGATTTGGGGGCGGTCATAGAGGACTCGGTGATCCCTGAAACACAGGTTGCAGAATTCGAGGTGCCAACGCAACCGGGCGACCCCCCGACGGTTGGCGCCGAGGACACGATGGCGGCCGAGATATCTGAGGGAGCTCCTCGAGACGCCGCCATGGTCGCGGCCTTGGCGAAGCGGATGCGCATCGCGGGGGCCGCCACTTCCCGGGAGACGTTCAAGTCGATGTGGTCCGACGTGACGGAGAAGTCCTCGAAGCTCGCGAACTCGTCGGCCGCCGACCCGCCTCAGTTTCACGGAGTGGTGGCTGCTACGGAGAGGCTTGCCGATATCGTTAACAAAAACCACGAGGAGTGGAACGACGATGTCAAAAGGCTTGGGATGGCAGCTCTAATGCTGTATCGGAGCAGGCAATCTGATGTCAGCCTCCTTCAGCACGGTCAGCTTCTCTGGGTGCTTCTGGGCGGGCGCGAGCTGCGGGCGCACTCAGATCGTGCTTATTTTTACGATCATTCCCTTGGACATTTCGAGGGCTTCGACGGTCTCATGCCGCCGACCGTGCTAGCTGCCGCTGGCAATGCCATGCTTACCTTGGAAGGGTTGTTCAGGTCCTTCAAGGCGCCTGTCGCGCGCAAGGACGCGGACGTACTGAATGCGATCGATTCGTCCATCAAGGAGGCCTTGGCGCAGAACAACAACGACTTGCCGAGTGCAATGTTGACTTTCCATGACAACTGCATGTTCAACAAAGGCAATAACTTGTCGAAAGCAGGGAGCGCCGCGCCTGGCAGGCAGAGCGAACCGGGCGGCGACGGCGAGGATGCAGAGGGCGCCCTTGCAGCCCCTGCACCGGACACGAGCAATTCGGCTGACAGCTGGTTCGTGCTAACGGCTCAGACCATATCCAAAGTGTCAACTAAGCTTCAGTATGATTTGTTGGGAAACAAGTTGGTTCCTTATTTCATTGAGTGGTGTTCAACTGACATGCAGCGGGTTCCAGGATGCGCGTGCGCTGACTGCTGCGTGTTGCACGATCGCAGCGCTTTCGAGAACGTTTGCTTGTTGTCGTCTCGTTCACCAGAGAACAACATATATCTCGGCATCCCGACACCTCTGCTGGACCCGGTGCTTGGCGCCGCCATGGAGCGCGTTCAGCGCGTGTATGAGCAAACTTTTTGGTCTATGCCCGAATCGTTCGTCTTCGGCCAGGCAGCGCAGGCATTGGCCAAGCGCGGTCAAAACATCGATCAAATAATTGTGTATTGGGGGCCGGGCGGCGTCGGCCTATCCCTCTACACTTCGCACTTGCACGCGATGCACGGCGATAAGAACCACAAGTTCTTTGATCCGAATATATTTTTCCAGGACGAGGAGATGCGGAAGGTGGTGGAACTCTGGTCGGCGGCTGCATCTTCACCGGCCAGGAGCGGCCCTCGGGGCAGAGGAGTAGCATGCGCCAGGACTTACTCAAGAAGTTCGCCACGGCCGACACCATCGCGGGGAGACTGCCGTACTCCATCTTGACGAAGATGTACAGGATCATCGGGTGGAAGCGCATGGAGGTAAACCAGTTCTTCACTTTCGACAACGTCAACGAGCGCAACCTGGAGTCTATTGTGCGCCGCATCGCCATCATCAAGATGCAGTCGCGGTTCTTTGACAAGCTCTACGTTGATAAGATTATTCTCGCCGACCCGAGCAGATACGGCATCTTCGCGCGCGATCCCGACGCCAAGGACTTCATGATTAGCGGGGCCGCAGTTGCGGCAGGCCATAAGATTCAGTACGCGTTCGAGGTGGAGAACGGGCCCGACGCGTGCAGAGACATTTTGGTGAACTACACGAAGTGCGGCGGTGACCATGGAGTAACCGAGAAATACGTCAGGATCGCTTGTCATATCAAGGCGGCCGACGCTGCGGAATCAGCGGCGAGCGCTGTCGCCGAGGGCTTGGTTGACCCGCCGTCCCAGGACGGCCATTTGCCGAGTTCGCCGATAGTCCTTCTCAGCAACCATTTGGTGAAGGAGCTGCAGCGGAAAGGATTGAACTACTTGACTTACAGCGTGTTCCGAGCGTCTGCAACACCTCCCGGCGCTAGGCTGAAGGGTAACAAAGAAGAACAATGGGAGTCGTTGAAAGGCAGCGACTTGTGGATCGACGTCGGTTCCAAGGGCAAGGCGGAAGATCGTCTGAGTCCGCGCGTCAAGACTCAGAGAGACGCTTCGATTCTTTGTTCACGGCGGCCGCCATGCTGCGATGCGATATACCCGGAGCATTGCGGCGCATCGGCGCTGGAGGCGGCGCGGTGTACATCCAGATTGGCCAACGAGAAGACTTTGGCAGGCGCGTTTAACGCGCTCGCATCGGCGATTGCTCCTGCGCGGGGGCGGCCAGCGAAGGGCGTCCTCGAGAGGATCGAGAGTTTGGATGAGAGGGCGCAGCAGATTTTGTCAATGACAGAGACGTCGCAGCGGCTGCTTGACCGGAGTAAGAGGTCGGCCGACCTCGAGGTTAAGAGAAGGAAGTTGGCCTCGAAGCAGCCGAGCGTTGAGAAGTCTCCAACCCGCCATACTGGAAGGAAAGAAACAGTCCCGCTTGACAGCTTCAAGAGCTACAGGCGCGCAGTGGAGTGGCCGTCTCGGCAGTACGTCAACGAGGAGCTCTCGGCGCAGGCCATGGACCAACGATTACAGCACGTGTTTTTTTCGAGCACTTTCGATTTGGATTTCGTGAACTGCGTTTTTTGTTTATTGGCGCAGATCATTGAAAAGTTGGGGATCATTGGCGCTCAGCTGTTCGCGGACGAGATTGCTGCGCTACAGCGCGTTCGCGCAGATCGAGAGGGCGTCTGCAAGTTGGAGTCTGAAAGCCGTCCGCGCTTCCTCGCTCGTCTCGATGCGGTTTCCTTGGCCTGGTGCGGCTTGGGGAAATAGGTCCAGGGGCGTTTTAGTCCGCTGTGGGGAGGGGATGAGGCGGAGGGAGAGGGTCCATGGGGCAGGTGCTTTGGCGAGCGAAGAAGCTTGGGCGAGCTTTCCTCCTGCTCCTGATAGGGACGTCTTCAAAATGTTGCCGTTCAAGGGCAAGCAAGTCTTGATCAAGCTGATATGCGGCGGCGCTTTGCCGAAGGAATTGTCCGAGAACGAGTTCGCCAAGATGCTGGTGAGAACAGCGCGTTTCCTGCGTTGGCTAGCCGTGGGGCTGTACCCGGAGCAGTTCAAGCTCCTAGAGTCCGCGCAGGACAAGTGGTCAGAAGGCATCGATAGGCCAGCTACCAGCAGGGCAGGCGTTGAGGATTATGCTTGGGAGCAGGGGTCGACTTTGTCATGGAAGAGAAATCAGTCACGTATCTTGCATTTCCGACGGCCTGCGCGTCGGACAAGGGGCGGCTCCTTGGAGCCAGGGGGCGGCGATTGCGCAGGCGACGGCAGTTTCTGGACGCAGAGAAGGTCAAATCCCTTTTGCAAGGAAATCTGAGGAACGGATTTCTTGCCCACTACGGGTTATTCCGTGAGCATTCAGGAACAAGGAGAGATATTATTATATGATCTTCTCCGTGCGTAAGCAGCATGTTGGACGTTGAGCATTGCAGATTGCGCCGCAGCCTCGTCGAGGCGCTCGGTTCTCTGCACAGTAAGCATCTTCTGCGCAATGGCTGCGCTCGCGGGCATCTGGTCGGATATGTCGACGAAGGCCGCTGCCGCCGCAACGCCTCCCAGCGCAGCGGTGGCCTCGGCGGCCTCGTCGCCGCTGTTCTGGGCGCCGCCTCGGCGCTCGTATCGGACATGTGCGAGAGCGGCCAATGTGAAGCTGTTGCCCGTGGAAGTGCCGCAGGAAAGTTGTCCTGGGCTATTCTTAGTGCACTGCGAGCCAGACGTTGCGCCGCTTTGCGTCGGCATCGACGTGAAACAGCGTGGGCCGCACAAGTGCTACGTCGGCAGGGAGCGCTGGAGTCTGCCGGCCGGGGCGCTGGACGAGGCGGTGTTGGCGGCTCGCGATCGGTGTGTGGTAGTGGCATTTCAGATGAAGCCCGCCGATCGAGATGACGAAGATCATCGAGATAGTTCGTTGGATGGCGCATTGGATTTATTTGCGGGCGCCGGCATCGAGGACAATGTCGCCGCCGTCTGCCGCGCGCGCAGACGCCGCTCGCACGCGGCGCGCGTCGCCGCAGGTAGCCCGAGCTCAGACCGCTCTCTGTCGCCGCCCTCGCCGGCCAGCCCAGCTGCGCAGCGGGGGGCGGCAGCTCTTCGCGAGCTCGGTTGTTCAATTCGCGGCATCGTGCCTTTTGACCGGCGACGTCTGACGTGGCACGGCAACTGCATCCCGTTCGGCATTGCGGCGCTCACTGGCGATTGGGATGGCGTCATCGCAGCTGCGACTGTGGATTCGACTGTGGATTCGGACGAGAACGCAGCAGCTATGGCGAGCGGCCTTCGTCGATATAGTGACTGCGCCAATCTCTTTGGCGTTTCATTGCGGCCAGTGCCGACGACGGCGGTGGAGACACTTGGCCGATTTCTTGTTCACGGAAAAGTTGCAGGCAGAGAACATTGCGCAGCTGTCGAAGTATTCGAGCACGGCGGCAGCATCTTACACTCAGAAGGGTTATCTTGGGACGTACCTCGAGGTTGTCTCGACGCTTGCTTGCGGATTATCCTCGACTTCGGCGTCGAGGCGGCGTTCGCTCTCGGCGGCGGGCATTCGTCGACCCTTGGCGATGACGTCGCTGCACGCGACGCCATGGACATGGTGGCCGGAGCCGGCGTCGAGGAGGAGGGGGCCGTTGACGTCGCGAACGCCGACGACGAGCACGCCGAGGAATTGGATGACGATTCATGCGTGCGCGTGCATGCGAATCTCTTGCAGCTTCTACGCGACGAGGTTACTGACTTCGAGATGATCGTGAAGTCGCTCTCTCGCACAGGCGCCACGAAGGACGGGAATGGGAGCGTTGCAAGGTGCTTGCTTTGCCCATTCAAAGAGTATTCTACTTCGTCTGTAAACGTTAAGAGGGATCTCCTTGCGCATATCGCGAATCACCACGGCTTGCACAGAAAATGCGAGAATGGTAGAGATCGTAAGATGGGATCAGGTCGGTACGTTGCTTCAGGCACTAAGCAGTGGAAAGTCATCCAGGCGTTGTTTGACGACGACATGTTATCAAAGCATCAACCGAATAACTTGCTGCAGCGCAGTGCCGATCTCATGCGGCGGTCGGTGAGCCCGCCGTTGCGGTGTCTTGGTGTTGACAAGCAGATTCGGCTGCTCCTTGACCACGACGGGCCCCGGTTTGTCAACTTCGAGGTTCTCGCGAGAGATGGCGCGCTCCAAGCCAGGCTCGGGCTGGAAGAAAGAGCAGGATGCGGAAAGGGGGGGGGGTGCGACATTTGTTTCGCGCAGCTGGTTTCGGCTCCGCCCGTTGAGCCCGTTCTTCGACGCGCGGGCGCCTCCCGGCGTTGCGGGGCGCCGGGGACAGTAGCTGCGTGAGCTGATTGCGCGCCCTGCCCTTTGCCATCCTACTCTTTCGTCGGCTTCGACAGGCGCGTGGGAAACACGTACTACACGAAGGAGTTCGCCGAGCTCGTCTTCCGCGAATCCATCTTGCACGAAGGTCGAGTGCGCCCGATGAGGGCGAGGATTGTGACGCGCTTTAAGGAAGCCGGCAGTTGCGTCACGCACCTTCTACCAGGAAAGGTCGTTCAGTGGTTGTCGTTGATGGAGGACGTATTCTCGTCTCCGTTCGTAGAGGAAGTGCGAACCAATCTCATGGGCGAGTTGGTTGATAATACAGAGTTTGAGCACGTTTCGTTGGATGCAACTCTGCGCACTGCCATGCGCGTGAAAGGCCAGGCGAACTACAGGGAACCGGCAGAGATTCGAGCGGCGGCGCCGTTTCCAGACGGCGTTGCCAAGAGGCGCATTTTGACTGCCAAAGGTCGCACGTCAGCCGCCATTGGCATGTGGCCCGTGGCCAGCGAAGCGGCATCCGTCGTGAAGGCGGCTCTTCGAAATCACTTGCCCGAGCGAGCTCTCCAGCAGTGCGTCTCAGTGGCATCAGATGATCCGTCGGCGACATTGTTTGCAGAGCTCAAGCAAATCATGCCTCAGCTCAAGTTTTTGTGCCTAGATCCTGTTCATCTCGCAATTGTGTATAATCAGGCGCACTGGCGGAAACATTCTCCGGGCCAGGCAGTTTTGCGAATCATTTTGAATAAATTCAATAAAGTGAGCTCAGATTTAAATGGCGCCGCGTGGGGCGCCCCTTACACGGGCCACCAGGCTAGCTCGCTGTCTGCCGCCGAGGGCCGCGCGCAGTCGTTGATAGCCGGCGGCGGCATGCAGAAGCGCCGAGCGCACAAGATCATTGCAGATCTCGACGCCAATGAGCCATTCGTGAGAAAACTTGAGTTCATCGAGGCATTGGCGGCATTGACGTCCGTCTACTGGGAAGAAGTGGACAGGCGCACCCCCGCCGCGCCAAGCAAGAAGCTGGCTGATGTAATAGCGAATGCCGCGCAGCACAGTCGATGCGAGTATCTTTTTAATAATTTGCGCATGCGGCACTCGCTGCCGGCTCGCGCGCTGCCATTGCTCGGTTCGGGCACGAGCCCAAACGAAGCGCTGCATAGCGAGATCAACAGGTGGTTTAAGAACCAGCCGGAGTTGTACGCGCAGACTTTAGAGCTCCAGCTCGGCGTCAACGTAATCGGCAAGCAAATGATGCATAATTCAGCTATGTACGCCCCCACTCTGCGCCAGCTGTCTTCGCAAACTGTCGCAGCTAGCGTGGTCTGCTCGTTTGCGATATCCGCCGCCGAGTGGGCAAATCATTGCGCTTCTCAGGCGCAGGAGCAGAGGGCGCCGCGGAAAGCGCAGCTTCCGCTGGCGCTGCAGCGCAAAGCCGCTGAGCCCCTGGCGAACAAGTGGAAGGTGGATCACAAGCGCATGGTTGTTGCGCGCAAGCCAGCAGGGCAACAACAATTCATTCGCACCCTGAAGCGGCCGGGCGCAGCCAAGCAGCGCAAGCGCACGCCCTTCTCTCTTGTTCGGAAGCGCAGCTAAGGCGGACGGCTTTTCCCTTGATGAATGCTAGTGGTTGCGTTTATGTTTGAAGCTCAACTACGCGCTGCCTTGTCGCTGCCTCGACGCGCGGCATTTGCGCTGCCATGCGAAAAAGAGTACTAAACATCGGGAGTTGCGAAGGCTTCGCCTCTATTACCGGGGCCCGATTAAAATAATTTGAACTATTTAATTTCCCAGAGCAAAGTTTTTAATCATTTAAATCAGTACCGTTTCGACGAGAGACGAACCCCAGTTATTTTATTAATCATTTTCAAATTATTTATTTTTATTTTTTTTTGAATATTAAATAATTAAAACGTTTGATAAGACAGTCAATTTAATTACTAAAATCGCAACGTTTCGCTTCTATTACAGGAGCCCCGATTTAAATAATTTAAATATTTTAAACCACCCGGGCAATAAAATATTTAATTTATTGAAATCAGCGTCCTTTCGTCGAGAGACGAACTTCAGTTATTTTATTAATTAAAGTATTTAAACTATTAAAATTTCTAAATTATTCAAACATTTCATAATTTAAATAGTTTAAAACATTTAAGTAATTTAATTCATGAGATCGTAACGTTTCGCTTGTATTACAAGAGCCCCGATTTAAATAATTTAAATATTTCAAACCACCCGGGCAATAAATTATTCAATATTGAAATCAGCGTCCTTTCGAAGAAAGACGAGTTTCAGTTATTTTATTAATTCAATTATTTAATTTTTTTTAAATTATTTAAATTATTCAAATATTCAATACTTTAAAAAGTTTAAAAATACTTTTAAATAATTTAATTAATAAAATCGTAACGTTTCGCTTCGATTACAGGAGCCCCGATTTAAATATTTTAAACCACCCGGGCAAGACAATATTTAAGTTATTGAAATCAGCGTCCTTTCGAAGAAAGACGAGTTTCCAGCTAATTTATTAATTAAACTATCTAAATTATTTTTTTTTAAAATTATTAAATATTTAAATAATTTGAAAAAATGTAAATACTTTAAAAAATTTAATTAATACAATCGTAACGTTTCGCTTCGATTACAGGAGCCCCGATTCAAATAATTTAAATGTTTTAAACCACCCGGGCAATAAAATATTTAATTTATTGAAATCAGCGTCCTTTCGAAGAAAGACGAGTTTCAGCTAATTTATTAATTAAATTATTTAAATTATTTAAATTATTTAAATTATTTAAATTATTTGAATATTGAATAATTTAAAAAGTTTAAATAGTTTAAATAGTTTAATTACTTAGTTCGTAACGTTTCGCTTCGATTACAGGAGCCCCGATTTAAATAATTTAATTAATTTAAACCACCCGGGCAATAAAATATTTAATGTATTGAAATCAGCGTCCTTTCGAAGAAAGACGAGTTTCAGTTTTTTTTTTTTTTTTTTTTTTTTTTTTTTTTTTTTTTTTTTTTTTTTTTTTAAAAAAAAAAAAAATATATATTTAAAAAAAAATTTAAATTATTTAAATTATTTCAATATTTAATAGTTTAAAAAGTTTAAATCGTTTAAATAATTTAATTAATAAAATAATATGAAATCGCTTTTATTTACAAAGGCCAGGATTAAACATATTTTTTGTTTTAAAAAATTCTGTAAGCAATAAATTATTTATCTTTTCAAAATGACGATCATATGTGACTAGTTTGTCCCTCAATCATGTGGGGGGACGAAACTTGTCACATGCGATCCTGCTCCTTCCCTCCCCCTCTCTCTCTCTGCATTATCCCGTCCCTCCCCCCTTCCTCGCCCTTTTCTTCCTTACATCTCTCATGATTCCCTTCCGTATTCCTTTCTTGATCTCCTCATCTCCCTCTCCATCTCTCCTTCCTTCAACCTCCCACCTGTCTGCTCTTCCCCCTTCCTCTCTCCCTTCCTAGCTACCCTCTTCCGCACATCTCTCATGCTTCCCTTCCCTACTCCTTCATGTTCCTCCTCATATCCCTTCCCATCTCTCCTTTCTCTTCCCTCCCACCTCTCTCCTCTCCCCTCTCCTTCTCTTTCCTTCTCGCTCCCTATTCCTTGCCTCCGCCTCCTTCCTCGCGTGTCCGCTCCTTCCCCCCCGCGCCGGCCCTGTCTCGCGATTTTGAGTGGCACTGCGAGTGGCCCACTTGCTTGGGTCAGGGGGGCACTCGCCCGCAAGCATCTGAGTTATCGTTATCCCTCGTGTTCTCCCTAATCTCATCTCTTCTTTCCCCTCCTCTTACTGTCCCCTCGCCCACTCACCAGCGCTCTTTCTCTTTCACCTACTCCCCCCTCTCAGCCGCATCTCCCGCCGCACAGAGCCGGTCTCCTCCGCAGATCTGTCGTATCGTTCTTTGCTGCAGCTGGCCGGCAGCCAGCAACTACTGGCCAGAGGACGCACAAGAGGTAAGTGAGCTCCCCCTGCCTACGCCCCTCGCGGCTGCTACCTTGAACATTGCACAGCGGACCAAGCAGGGGGGAAAACTTCCGGGTGACCGGCGGGGCGGGCCGAAGCGCCAACAAAAAGCCACCCAATATTTTCCGTGCAGCGTTTTATATATATATATATATATATATATATAGAAAAAAATAATATATATATATAAAAGCACACTTGATGACATGATTTTGTAAATCGTATCTTCTAGTTCTGATGATACAATGAAGGCCCTTGTGGGCCTTTTGATAAAACACTTTGCATTTTAATTGCATCATGATGATGATAAATTTGTATGGGATGTCCATGGATCTCTGCAACTTCGGTTCCTGAGCGCCCCAAGACTTGCATCATTACCGTGCATCTTCATGATTCAATTTCAATGCAAATAATGCGCTCCTTCCAAATCGTTGCATGAAAAGTTTTGGTGGCTTTTTGCCGCCATGGGCTGGGGCATCTACAAGCCGGCGACGCGCTTGAGGCCTGAGCCTGCTGCGGGAGGCTGCGAGCCCGAGGGAAGCGGACGACTGCTGCGCCACAGGCACCTGACGCCGACGCCCACGAGGACAACGCCAAGCGGCATCCCATGCACGCCGCCTAGCGGCGTCCATGTGCCGCCGCCGCGCCGCCGCAGCCCACCGACGCCAGCGCCGACGCCAGCCGCTGAAGCACTACGACGGGCGCTGCAACGCCAGAGCGCCGACCAGGGCACCGACCAGACCGCCGACAAGAGCGCCGACCAGACCGCCGACCAGAACACTGGCGCCAACACCAAGCCCGGCGCCTACGCCTTGAGCTCGCGCGGACCGAGGCCCCCTCCTGGGCCGCCACCAACGCACCTGCGCACCGAACAGGGCGCCGACCAGAGCACCGACCAGGGCGCCGGCCAGAGCGCCGACCAGAGTTACGACAAGGGCGCCGACCAGGCTGCCGACCAGAGCGAAGACCGGAGCGACGACGAGAGCGCCGACCAGAGCGCCGACCAGAGCGACGACAAGGGCGCCGACCAGAACGCCGACCACAGCGACGACCAGGACGCCGACCAGAACACCGGCGCCAGCAACACGCCCGGCGCCTACGCCTTGAGCTCGCGCGGACCGAGGCCGCCTCCAGGGCCGCCACCGGCACACCTGCGCACCGAACAAGGCGCCGACCAGAGCGACGACAAGAGCGCCGACCAGAGCGACGACCAGGGCGCCGACCAGAGCGACGACCAAGGCGCCGACCAGACCGCCGACCAGAGCGACGACCAGGACGCCGACCAGACGACCGCCCTGAGCTCGCGCGGCCCGAGGCCGCCTCCTGGGCCGCCGCCGGCGCACCTGCGCGCCGAACAAGGCGCCGACCAGAGCATCTTCGAGGGCGCCGGCCAGAGCGACGACAAGAGCGCCGACCAGAGCGACAACCAGGGCGCCGACCAGAGCGACGACCAGGACGCCGACCAGACCGCCCTGAGCTCGCGCGGCTCGGGGCCGCCTGCAGAGCTTCTGCAGCAGGGGGACTGCTGAGCGGAGCCCTCCCAAAAAAATAGCCAGAACAGCCCGAGGACTCCCAAGATGGCCCTGAGACAGCGTGCAAGAAAGCAGGTGTTCTCTGAAATTTGGATGGCAAGCTGTCCCCCTCAGGCGCCTCTCCTGCCAAGAGGCTTCCCGGGGCGCCCCGAGAGATCGCTGGCCCTCCCTTGAACTCCTTTCGGAAAAGCCGCCTTCCCCGAGAAGCTTCAAGAGTTTCCAACAAACCCTGGGAGGTCCCGGCAGGTCCCGAGAGGTCCCAGGAAAACCGACGCGGCCCAGGAGGGCCCAGGATGGGGCAAACAACAAAACCCCTGACGGGGCATTTCCGCCGTGGCCCGACAGAGCGGGGAGGAGAAGAAGGAGAAGGATTATTTTTTTTGATTTCGTGGATGATAAAATTACGAGTAATGACGACGAGAATGAGGAAGACAAAGAGGACAACGAAGAGGAGGAGGAGGAGGAGGAGAGGGAATGGAATACGACGAAATCGATAGCGCCCGCGCCGGTGAACCCCCCACGGTGGGTTCGGCGGAGGCGCGCGCCTGATCCCTCAGATGCGGGGATGGCGGATCCTCAACCACCCGGGCACCCGTACTTGGTGGGCGGCGGATCTAGAACCTCGGAAGTCACCGGGACAAGACGGCCCAAGACATCCGCGGGGCGCCTTAAGAGAGCCCCAGTAGGCTTCCCAAGGGGAGTTCCAATAAGAAACTACTCCCCCCGCACCTCTGCCCGCTTCTGCCAGCGAAGGAGAGAGGCGCGGGGCGCGCGAACCCAAAAATCATCATGTTGGGGAAAGTAACGTCACAAGCTCGCAACGCCAAAGCTCCCAAGAGCTAACGGTTACGTAAACAATACCCGACACCAAGGCTTCCAAGAGCGAGCGGCAACGTAAACATCTCTGATCACCAAGGCCTCGAAAATAGCGCCACATTCACGCACCTGAGGTCAATATCCCCCATAACTCATATGGCTTGCTGATCGTCTGCCACCCTTGAACGACGTTCCCTTGCTGCTTCAAGGCAGCGCCTAGACATCCCAATCCAGCTCTGATGTATCCCATTCTACT